CTTTACGCTTTCAGAAATAGGTGCAGCATAAATAGCAAAAGTTGATCCTTCTTTTGCTGCGTGTATAAATGCTTTTGCACCTATAGGTGTGAGTTTTACTATACTAGACTCATGGTTTTTTACTTGGTTAATAGAACTGTTACTAATGCTCTGAGGAAAATCAAGTTTACGAGAAATCCAATCTATTCGAGGATTATACTTTTCTAACCATGATAAGCCTAAAATTACTGGACTAGAGGGAGATCTAATTATATTAAAAATTACGCAACTACTATGACCATTTATTACTACATCTACAGGAAGTGTTTCGTGAGTTACATCTCCAGAAGACAACGGACGACCATCTATGACTTCTACGTGTACAGGTTTAGTTTTTTGTATTAATGATATTCTATGACATCTAGCAAATTCTTCATCTAAAAAACAAGATGAGGCTCCTGAATCTACCAAGGCAGAGGCTTTGTAATTATTAGGTCCTAAACGCACATCTATTATAAAACAAGGAGATGGTTTTGAGGAGAGGATAGGACCTTTATTAGAAGTTGTACAAGATTCCAGCCGCACGGTCCCTATTGTAGCTGGACGTACTCGTTTTCCGACATACTGTCTTCTTTGACAGCCGTACTCCTCATTTTGTAGTTACGTCGCTTCTTTGGACAATGTTGAGCAGTGTGCTTAGGTTCTCCACAATATAAGCACAATCCTTCTTGTCGACGACGAGACTTTTCTTGCTCAGTAAGAGGTTTGAAACGTACCGCATCAATTTGCATATCCTCTACTTCCGAAGGTATGTGTTGAGGAGACGTCGGTGTCGCCATTGAATTGTAGTAACGTTGAGGCCCACTTGTGCGACTCTCGGATCGAAATTCAAAAAGTCGATTGTCGCACTTCACAGCAAAGTCAATTGCTTGACTCAATGTTTGAGGATCAGGTAAATTAAGCATCAATTTCTTTACCTCATATTGTAATCCATAGAGAAATTGACTCACAAGTGCGGCATCATCCCACTTGATATCAGTTGCAAGTTGTCGAAATTGCGAAGCATATAATGTTACTGATCGATTGCCTTGTCGCAAAATACGGATCTTGTTGGTTGCAACACGAATTGCATCATGTTCTCCAAACATGGATCGAAACTCCGCCAAAAAAGCCTCCGGATTATCTAATATTGGATCTCGTCGTTCAAGAAAAGATGAAAACCATGACAATGCTGAACCTGAAAGAAGTGTACCAATGAATCTTACTTGTGACCTTGGAGTTGGATAGCTCTGGGGTTGAAGTTCAATCACTAGTTAGACCTGATTGATGAATCCTCGAAACTTGGATCTGGTACCATCAAACTTCTCGGGCAAGGCAACTCTCGGTTCTCTAACACTCGAAGGGTGTTCCATTCTGGGAGAAGGGACATGGTTTGGTGCAGATGTTGAAGCAGCCCCAATCATCTCTATATCTTCACTTCCTACCATTCTTGTTGCTCCTTGTGGTGGTAAATTGAGTTGATGCATCGCAAGCATTAACTCCCTCAATTGTTCTTGCATCTGTGCCATTGCACTCTTCATTTCAACAAGCTCTGCCATAGTAGCACTTAGAAAAGAGAAGATGTCTAACAACGCTCAAAACAAATAGAAGAGAGGAATTGATAACAAAGAAAATACTAAGAACAATATCAGTTTAAAAGAGGGTAATCCGCAACTTCTAATGCGCTTATGTCTTATCAAGAAAAAGGGGTAATCCACTCTTAATCAAGAAAAGACAAAGCTCTGATATTGTAAGTGTACTCTTGTCAATCTGTCAGGGACAAGAACTCGATGAAAGCTAAAGAGTAAGTGAGACTTTTTTCAAAAAGAAATAGGACAAAATAGAAATATGTATATTAAGAAAGAAACTGGAATGGCTATTGCCAAAATACAAGAAAACTAGAGACCCTTGAAACTAGACTAGAAGCAAGAAAGGAGTTGACAAGAGTGAAGAGGGCTTCACTCTTGCCTCTATATATACTATCTAACTAGAAGCCACGTGGCGATGTTCTATAAGACCTCCAATATATGTTGACTTTCTAGGCCACATGCCTTTGCTTGCAAGGCAAGTTTTCTATGGATGGACCACGTAGTTAGCTTGTTCTTTAAGCTTCCAACATGCGTGGCACATGGCTAACTTGTTGACCAAGTTTCTAACCTAAAAGTCAACTATAGACTCCTATAAAGTCAAAGCAGCATCTATGAAGCTTCTAAGAAGCTTCTCTAGAAGATATTACACAATTAACCTACTTTTACATACTTTTATCTATTCATATAGGTAATTATATGTATGTCCGTGACAGAATCTTATGACCACCAATGGATAGGAGATGTTTTAAAGGTTATATTAGAAGTAGAATTAACAATAGATTTTAAAGAACAAATGAGGGTAAGAGATACAAGAGATGTAAAGTATTGAAGGAAGAATAGATAGTCTAGCAGATGCAATATTACTATGTAATTTGAGTGTAATCATGAAGAATTGCTAAAATTGTGACAAGAATTTTTTTTTCAATAATTTAAATTGATTCCCATTGCAACTTAAAAGTTTAAGCTTTAAGGGATATTATAAATGTAGTAATAAGATTGAATATAGATGCATTGTATAACTTACTCCAAATGGTGGGAGTGTACATCAATATTTTTAAAGTTTTGAAGATGTTTTAATGTCCATCTAACATTTTATCATCAAGTCTAGACAAAAGGCTTTGACAAGGCAATGAAGATGATTGAAAGAAGTCCAAGTCAAATGAAGGTAGGTAAAGATAGCAACTAAGAAGTAGCCTAATGATTACCATAACCAATTGACCTAGTAAGGTGAATTAAGAATAAGTCAAGATTGCTCCTTTGAGTGAAACAAAGTTAAAATAAACATGTAGATTAGAAAACAACCTATGAGATCAATCCTTGATATTAAGACTACTTCTATAACGAGGGTGCAATCTAAGAGAGGTAATAAATCAGATAATAAAATCTTTAGGCAAAAGTTTGCATACCTAAAATATTATGAAGCACTACAACAATGAGTAGGAAAATAATTAGAGGAAAGAAAATAAATTAAGATAGAAGGCTATAATAAAATAAATTCTATCTAATCAACAAAAATAATAAAAATTTCTATTTAAGTGGAAAAAAAAGGAATAAAAATTTAATTTTGATACAATTGACTTAGTATAATTAATCATTATAAAACAAACTTGTGCCTCTTTTGAGCATCTTAGTCTCATTGTTAAGATTTTCAAAGGAATCTTGCATTTGCAAGTACTAACATATATATATATATATATATATATATATATATATATACATACATATTTTTTATTTTTTTAATAAATTAATGTCTTTAGATTATTAGTATTATTATTATCATATATGATTTTAAAATAAATTATTTAAAAATATATTTAATTGGAATTAAGATTGATAAAATATCTTTAAAAATAAGTCAATTGCAATTGCAAAGATTCAATTATAATCTTTATTTAAGAATATATATGTATAAATATATAAATATATATATATATATATATATATATATATAAACATCCATATTTATTTATTTATTATGAATTATTTTAGAAATAAAATAATAAATTCTCTCAAAAGATTTTTATAAAAATATAAGTTAGATTATTAAATTAGCTTTAAAATATAACTTTCATAAAAATATTTTAAAATATTTTAAAGCTTAGTTTATAATTTTATAAACAAATAAATAAATTATATATTATCATAATTAATATTATTTTATGCATAAAATTTTGAAATATAAAATAAATATATCATATTATATAATTAAATGAATGATTTTATTTTAAAGTACTCTATGATTTTAAAGAATTTTTTTATAAATGAATTTGTGCTAATTTTTTGTGCTTTGTATGTAATTCAAACATGTCTAATATTTTTATATTTATAATAAAAAAATAAAAAATAAATTTATAAAATTTTAATAAAAAAATCTATATTATTAGTCCTATTTGAGGCATCTTAAATACATGTGTATATATATATATATATATATATATATATATATATTTCACAAGACTAAAATAAATTCTAAAAAAAACTTATGGAACAAAAGTTTTTGACAATAACAAAACTCTTTACATATCCAAGTATGTTCGGATTTTGAAGTAAATGAAATACTAAATTCTTCAAAACGAAATAGAATTTTGAATAACAAATGCTTCTAATAATTTAGATATCAATGAATCAAATAAATTTTGGTTGATTAATTTGTGATGCATTAATATCATAAGTTAAATTTTGCATAATTCAGACCTGGTAATATGATTTATCTTAATTAACATATACTTATTGTGAATGTTGTTAAATTTTTAAAACAAAAATATATAATGATTTTTTACGTTTTAGAATTTTATTTTGCATTAACTTTTAGTGAGTCATTTTACATGTTCAAAACCATTCATCATACAATTTATGAGTTTCTAAAAAACTAACACTTAAATTATAATTTTTATTGTTGGATCAATTTTTACAATGTTACTTGTCAAAATCAAGTATCTATCGATAAGTTATTATTAATTATTTTTTAAAAAAATGGTCATATCTATATTTTTTAAAAGTATAATTTTAATGTTTTTCAGAAGATAATCACCTTCATTCCATGTTTTCTGCACTACAATTCCTTCACCACCATCGATTCCTTACAGTGTATCAAATAATTAAATTATTGATTCAAAATATGACAAATTTTCTCTCCCAGGGTTTAAGTTCTGAGAGATTGAAACCCCATTAAGAAGTAAAAGTAACAGTGTACAATGAAAATATAGCTACAAATAGTATTACAAATATATGCATTATCTTCTATGTTACTACATGCTGTACTTGTAATGAATGCTTCCATCATCCTACAAATCACACCTAAACAATACAGAATCCAGATCAAGAGATTTGTGTAGTGCAGAACATTTATGAGCCAAAATACAAGCACTGCATAAATAGCTAGCAGAACAGACATTACAGAAACAAGCGATTTACAAAAATTATAAAAATTGGGGGGTGGTTACATTAAATGCAGTTGAATGTAGAGGGATTTTTCCTCTCAATGAGCAAGCTTAGCACCTGCTGGGTCGATCCAAATTTGGCATGGCAGACCCTACAATGTAACCGTGTGGGACCTGAACTAAAGCCTGCTGACCAATGTAAGCAAATTACAGGCATGGCATAATTGACCAGAGAATGCCAATACAAGTATATTACATACAGTTTCTAAACATTTTGATCAGATGGAGGACTGTGAAGCGAGTGCACTAATTGAGAAGAAGGCTTGTAACTGGGGCCATCACCCCCAACAAATTCAGAACGTGATGAATTTTCAGCTGCGAGGAGCTAATGACATGATTTGCAGAGCTTGTCTTGTCTTCCCTAGAACATTCAAGGCTGTGGCTGCGATGTGGCCAGCAGTTAGACCTGCTTCGGCAAACTGGTCATTCGGTGCTCCGTGTTCGATGTAACGGTCGGGAAGTACAAGCGGTCTCCACTGTTCACAGAATGGATCAGGAGAGAGATGAGAAGCAGAGTTCAAAGTTGGATAGAAATGCATGCCGGGAGAAACTATCACCAGCACTCACCTTGGACTGTGTCACAAACCTTCAACGCAATCGCAAAGACTGTTTTGTAACGTTAGAAAAAAGGAAACGTAAGTGTTGTAGAAGAATCGCAATACAGCAGAAGAGGACAGAACACTTACTTTCAGCTTTCCATCGAGAAGCCCATCTAACGCCATAAATTGCGCAACATGAGATCCAAAGCCTCCAACAGCGCCCTCCTCCACAGTGATAAGCACTTGATGATTTTCGGCCAATTGACGAATCAGACCCCGATCAAGGGGTTTGCAGAATCGACCATCAGCTACAGTAGCTGAGATTCCCACGTCGGCAAGTAGAGAGTGAGCAGCCAGGCAGTTTTGGACCATAGTGCCATATCCCAACAGAGCCACATCTGTGCCTTCCAGCAGAATTCTTCCTTTGCCAACCTGCGGTCAACAGATGCATATCTCGTCAGAAATCCAAATTTGGTATGATATGCAGAGACGAAAATATGATATCTACGTGGTGTAAGAAAGTGCTAAGACAGACTATCCGCCTCAGAATTGATTGTGTGGTGTTTTGAATGAATGACACATACCTCAATTGGAGTGCCCTTATTGTTTGCAGGCAGTTGGACCCCGATTCCGTTACCTCTGGGATACCTGAAACAGCTGGGGCTATCATCAATCACAGCAGCAGTTGCTACCATGTTGAAAAGCTCGGCTTCATCAGCAGGAGCCATTACTACCATGTTGGGCAAACAGGCCATATAGGTCACGTCAAACGCTCCACAGTGTGTTGGCCCATCTGCTCCAACAAGGCCGGCACGATCCATTGCAAATCTGACAGGCAACTTCTGCAGATCTACATCGTGTACGACCTGCGGGAACATTGTCGCATGAAAAATTAAGCACTCGAAAACCGACATGTGAGGACAATTATAAGGAATTCCATAGTACTGATAAACCCAACATTAGTCTTCATCCAAAAGAGATCTTGATGAGAATCGAAATAACATCCTAACAAGAGGAAGTAACGTGTTCAGACTAGTTTGACTAAATCTGACGACATGGAATAATAATTGAAAATGAAACCAATTGCCATACGTCCTCTAACCTGATCATATCCTCGTTGAAGAAAGGAAGAGTAGATACTACAGAATGGCCTCAGTCCTTCGCATGCTAGTCCCGCGGCGAAAGTCACAGCGTGTTGTTCCGCAATGCCCACGTCAAAACATCTTTCTGGAAACCGCTTTGCGAACATGTTCATTCCTGTACCACCTCCCATAGCTGCATGTATTCCAACAATACTCTTGTCAAGCTCGGCCTCGGCTATCAAAGCCTCCGCGAAGTATGTGGTATAGGCTTGTGTAGCAGTCTTCACTTTATGTTGCTTGCCAGTTGCTGGGTCGAACTTAACAACGCCTGCAGACCAATACCAACCGAATTTGAGGACAGTGGTAGTGACAAAATGAAATCTTTCTCAATTCCATGATATCAACTGTACACGGGAAGAAGAGGACGCGTTTCTACTGGCATAAACTTACCATTTTGACTACTGGGACAGATCTTTCTCAATTAAAAGACTTTATGCTGATTTATGCTGATCTAGACACGAAAAAAGGTGGCGGTAAAGACTTACCATGGTACTTATCCGCTGCTCTTTCAGCGTAGGGGTAACCTCGACCCTTTTCAGTTACAAGGTGAATCAACACAGGTCCAGTGGTTGCTGTGTTCTTTACTTCCCGAAGGATTGTCACCAAATCTTCGAGATTGTGGCCGTTGACCGGGCCAATATAGTAGAGTCCAAGCTCCTCGAAGAGAGTAGACCCAGATCCACTGATCATACCACGTGCATACTCATCAACCTTAGCGGCCAACACATGTGCCGAACCTCCAAGTTGCTTCGTCACCCCCTGCAATGATAACCCCAAGATGAGGTAATGCAAACTATCGACCTATAGCAATTCAAAAAAAAAAAAAAAAAAAAAAAAAAAAACGTATCGATTTTTTTTTTTTAACACAGATGAATATAATAAACCAAACACATCGGTCTCATGTGCCTACCTTTGCAACCTCACGGAGCTCACGAAGAGGCCTACTTGACTGGAGCTTGCTGAGTGCACTACTCAAAGCACCAACAGGAGGGGCAGGGCCATCAAGAGTGGCTGTGGGTAGAGATACTTGCTTGTTGTCATTAAGAATGACAATCATGTTGCAATCAAGATACCCGGCATTGTTCATAGCCTCATAGGCTTGCCCGGCAGTCATAGCTCCATCACCGATCACGGCAATAACGTTGTTCGTTCTGCCTTTTAAATCTCGTCCAACAGCCATTCCTAAGCCCGCAGAGATGCTGGTGGAGCTGTGACCAGCTCCAAACGGATCATACTCGCTCTCTGCTCTCTTAACGAAGCCTGAAATCCCAGCCGTTTGTCTCAGGGTTCTCATCTTGCCCCTTCTCCCGGTCAGGATCTTGTGTGGGTAGGTCTGGTGACGACCAGTGAACACAGTCGCTCATTAGAACGAGTTTGGACAATCTTACTAAACGCTAACCACATGAATGGATAACTTAGATTTCAAGTGTGTATGAGATTATTGTTTTTAGCTAATGCCCCATTCCAAACCGTTTGGTATAAGTCCTGAAGATTAGCTTTTTGTCCCGAGGAACGTGAATGAAGTGCAGGGGAACTACAGTGAGCTATTAGTACTCCACTAACAAAGATCGTGAACATCCACATCTCATGGCAGGAATCGAGAGTGAGTGAGAGAGAGGATCTACAGGGGGAGAAATCTTGTTTAAGCACTACATCGACAATTGTAAAAAATAAAAATAAAAATAAAAGAGGTTGAGTAAAAATACACGGAATTCTAAATGTGAGCAGCATTGTATGCTCGACATTCCTGTTAGTTCTGGCGGTACAAAGATAGAAGCAGCTATCACACACCTGATGGCCAACATCCCACAAAATCTTGTCCTCCGGGGTATTAAAGACATGGTGTAGAGCCACTGTGAGTTCAACAACACCCAAGCTCGAGCCCAAATGTCCTCCTGTCTTCGAAACCGTATGAATAGTCTCGGCTCGCAATTCGTCCACGAGTTGTTTCAGCTCCTGCAAACATTACGTGGGAGTCATTTTTAAATGGTGTGAAAAACGACCAAAGAAACCGAAAAGGAAAGTAGAAACAAACCACAACTCAAGCACGTCCTTAAAGAAGTGACCGGGAATGAGATCGCAAAACGTACTCGCACGGTGAGATTCTTCATGTGGATGGGATAGTTGATGGTATCCAGAAGTGGCGTGAGTGGCTTCTCGGAGGGGTATTCAGCGTCCGTTTCCGTCACTGCGGTAGCCACAACCCTGCTCTTCTCCTGCACACCCAGGTACTCAATCGACACACTCCATAAGTCCAATCCCCATCTCTGATCCTATATCTTGCAAATAACAGAGCCTTCTCAACTAGCCCAATTCACGTCAACGAAAATAGAAGTGAGAGAAATCTTACAAAAGAGCAGGAGCGCGACAACGATTGCGATTCTTTCGACAAATTCATCTTCTGGGTTCCAAAGAAACTACTCGCATCCGCTCGCAGCAGAGACGAGGAAGACGAAACAGGCAACACTTGCTTGTTGAGAGCCACGGCTTGGTTCACAGCCATCGCAGTAGTCATGGCAGCAGCCATGACAGAGCCTAAATTAACAGAACTTTCAGCAATGCACAATTCCACAAACCTCCGCGACGAGAACCGGAGGAGAGGACACCACTTGCAGAACAAACGGAACAAGACTCACTAACCCGGTTGGTAAAAAGTACGAATCACAAACTAGAAATCATTAGCAACTGGGAAATGCACCAGAAGGGCACGGAATGCACACAAGCCGCTCTGGAGGAGTCCCTTCTAACACCTCCCCGTCACGTTACGATCGCATTAAAACAGAATGACTTCGCCGCCATCGGGCCCAGATCAATGGATTTGGGGATTTCAACGATTCTCATGAATAGTCCGGATTCTCTGTCCGTTCACCACACGTTTGACACTTTCTCGGTAGCCATTTAAACAGAGATGAAAAACCCACAGCGGAGAATCCACATGCAAAAGTCCACTTGAAAACCCATATTTACCCCCCCTCCCCAAAAAAAAAAAAAAAAAAAAAAAAGAGGGAACAAAGTAAGGGTCTCAGCTGTTTTCATTGCTAATCGGGTGACACATCTAAGAAGCCTGGGCGGCGCTTTTGATGTCACCCGAAGTTCCAGAGGGAGGGGGGCTGAAAGGCGAATCGAGCAGTGTGACTGGGTGACAACCAACTCACGACGCGATCGAAATTCAGGTCGCCTCGTTTCCATAACCGGAATCTCGACGGTCATGGCGTCGCTGCAGCGCATTGTGCGGCGCTGACCTCCGCCAATGGGCAAAGAAATTCGGGGGCGAAGGAAGGGATCCCCAACAGCATCCGCGGAACCGAATAGAACTAATGAAACCCCACGAGATCTTCACGTTCAAAGATGCCTTGCGGAGGGATTAGCGGGATTGATGCTGGGTCTTCTGCTGGTAGGGAGAATGAGAAGAGAATTGGATCCTGGTGAAACTACATTCTAACTAGATTCCCCCGTCTGATCTCTGCTGCTCATCAGGCTCAGTAGGTCGCTCCGTTGCGCCATCGATCATTCTGAAAGGGAGGGAGAGTGAGTGAGTGAGTGATGGGGAGGAAGGAGAGTTGCGTTGCCATGCTCACGCAAGGACTTCGGCGCCGGTGGAGAAGTTCGTGATGCCGCACTGACGGAAGCCGACGAACAGACGGACGGAGGGACGGACGGACGGACGAATGCCCGAACGAACGAACCCACTCCTGGAGCTTGAATGAATGAATGAATGAATGGTGTGTTTGAGGGAGGGAGGGATGAATGAAGGGGGTGGGAGGACGGGTCGGGGTGGCATCTTGGACCCGCTATGTGGGCCCCACTATGGATTTTTGGGGATCTGGGCCACGACACTTGGGTACAACATGAGGAAACTGAAATGGAGAATACTTGAGAGAGAGTAGTTGGGGTGAAGGGACCTTTTGCATTAAAATGTGCGATAGACAAAACTAACTACTTGATTATATACTTGTGTTTTGATGTGGTAGTTTATTTCTCTCTTTTTTTTCTAATTTGGGTTGAATTCAAAGTTCTAACTATGAGGGTACACAATAATATTTTTTGAATTGTAGTGTATCTATACAAAAGAAAGCTTAGTTGTAAGACAAAGAGATAATTTAAGAAAAAAATAAAATAAAATAAAATCTTCTCGTTGTTGGTTTAGATAAATTGCCTTTTAATTGGCTGAGATAAAGAAGCCTTTTCATTTGCCGGAAATGTATGTTGAAGTAAATATAAATTGTCTTTGCCAGTTACATTCAGGAAACATAATTGGTTCTATTGTTATTTATTTTTTTTATTTTTTAGATTAACATTTCTTGGATTGATTTTTGATTTGGGAAATTAAAATGTTATAGCTTTTTTGTGCTCCATGATAGAGGTTTCCACTAATAAAATAAGAGTATATATATATATATATATATACATATATACATATAAATTTTGATGTGGTAGTTTTATATTCTATGTTAGTTGAAATAAAGTTCTATCTCAAAGAGTACACAATAGATTTTGTAGTTGTTGTTATTGTCAACTTTTCAAGCCACTGTAACAAAATAAAATAATATATAAAGATGTTCTTTCTATCTCTTGGATTTTTTTCTTCATACATACATATATATATATATATGCATAAAAACTCATTGATATAGGATTGTTATTATTGTTTTGTCACCATCTTTTTGTTATAATTTATTCAACATATGTCAAAAAATAAGAAAATAACCAAAAATTTATAATTTGTTAAATTATAGTTATGGAAGTATCTTTAAAATAAATGAACGAAATGTAGTTCCATTCTTCTCTTTATATTATGTTCTCCAGTCTTCTTTCAATTTCATTTGTACATACTGAGTAAACCACAGATAATATAAAAGATAATTTTATAATCGACCTGAATAAAAAAACCCCTCAACATAAAAAATAATCCATAAATTCGAATATTTTAATTTTATATTAACGGTTCAATCAGCATTACTTGTAATCTGCTTTCAAGCTTCTAGTACCACAACGTTCCATTATAATACATACCATTCTTCCCATTGGTACATTACAGTAAAATCAAATGTTTCAACATGAAAATTTTAATTTTAAGATATATATATATATATAAAAAATAAATATATAAAATAAATATATATATTATATAAATATATAAAATATAATATATATATATATATATATTTCATATATATATATATATATATTTCATATATATATATATATATATTTCATATATATATATTTCATATATATATATATTTCATATATATATATATGAAATATATATATATATTCCTGAAATCAATATGAAAGATTTCCGCATAAGAAATAGCTTTTAAAGCGAAATATTTTTTCTATAAAAAGGTAAATCAACACATGTTCCACAAAGCAATGGAAAAAAACAATATCACAACGACGAATAACAGGGCATAGATCTTCATCTATCTACCATTCCTCATACACAAACATATATATATATATATATATATATATATATATATAAAGGTTTGTTTTTACACTGCCTCATATGCTATTCTCATACAGATCCCCACCCCCCCCCCCCCCC